CAACAATAATTTTACAGTCCTCTTTGCCAAGGTAACAGCTAGGCCAGCTGATTGTTCTCCACTCCTAAAATAAAGCCTTCCTTACTCTTTTGGGAACTGTGGAGTCCTGGGAGTCAACAAGCCCCAGCTGAAGTTGCCAGAGCTTTGTGCTGCGATCTGGGGCTTTTGACACTGCCAGATGTTGCTGTTGCTTGCTCCACTTGCTCCACTGATTCATTCTTCTGCTGACTGCTGCTACTGCTCCTCATTTTTGAGCTGTCCTGCCTCACCACTGTCATTTTGTAGCATTTTGTCTTGCTTCAGCTTTTAAGAAGTGCATATGAAGTACTGCCATGTCCTTGATGTATACAGAATATTGGTAATCAGCTTCTCCCACTTCATGGACTCCTAAAAAAAAATCTTATGCCATTTTTTCCTTGCAGTCCTACACAGAAGTTATGATCTCTCTAGATTAACATGAAGAGTTGGCCTACTAGATCTCTGGAAATCTAGAAACTTTGTCTAAGGCAGTTACAAAGCTCTAATTTTTTTTCCACTTTGATATTAATTTCTTTTTACAGAAATGCTTCATAAACATCTGTAAAATAAGTACGTTTCAGAGGTTCCCATTTGTCTCTCTCATCTCCTTGCTCTCCAGGAAATGCTCTTCCTACCCACTATGAGTTGGGGAATAGGGGAACACATTACTACATTTTATGTTAGCAAAAGTTCCTTTAATTTTTATCTCATGTGAATCATAAGCAAACAATACTCCAAAGATTCAACTACAGTACAATATGAATGTACCCTTTTAAAATTTTTAAGGAACATGTTCTGCTTTCTTCTCTATTTTTTTGTTTGTTTGAGTTTTTGTTCTTGTGGTTTGGTTGTTTTGTTGAGGTTTTGTGTTTTTTTTTTAGTTCTGGATGTGAACAGGCAGTCAAATAATGAAATTTAAAGTTGTATATTTTTTCTTCCCTTTTCTCTCAACCTGTGCTATTTGTATAAAGCCATTCCTGAAGAGAGATGCAATTTACTTCATATTTCTCCTGCCAACCATCATGTTACTGTAGCAGGAATCTGGAGGCCAAAGCCTCATATTTGCTCCCAGTGACATCTCTATACCACTTACCAAGGAGTACATGGTCTTTGAACTAAAAATCTATATATGCTACTGTCATCTGAAAGCAGATAAAATAGCAGGGACTTTCTACCAGAAAACTAAGTGAATGTTTGATTGCTGTATTCTGTAGTAGTTTGATATTGAAACTGTAATAAATAAATAAATTTGATTTACATTTGATTTGGTTACAGCTGTGTCTGTAATGCTAAGAAAAAGCCTTTTACATTGCCTCAGATCTTGACAGAGTTATGTAATAAATAATTAAAAGTGTTATAAATCTTACTGCAGTGGCTTTTCAAGCTGTTACAAGGTAGAGTAGCAATAAAATAATTTTTAAAAAGTTAAAAAAGGTTATTTTGATCCCATTTCCATTGATGCAAAATCAATTAAATTCCTTTCCTATAAATTAGGCTAATGAACTTGTACGACCTAGTGGGATACTCTGAGAAGTTTGGGAAAAGTAGAACAGACGTGAGATAAACATATTTGAGTTTCTGATGCAAGTTTTCTGGACTCTGAGGGAACTTGTCATCAGTTTTCCTCCTGTTTCTCATGGTGTTCATAGGAATTTAAGGTTAGGATCAACCTCAGTAGACGACCAAAGGCAATCATCTCTCTGAGGCATGATATCATTTCTTGCCTGCATGGATTCCGCAGTTCCCTGGATTTCCTATTCCATTGTTTCACTACTCACACAGTTAGAAAAAGGTTCCTTATTTTCAATCTGAAAAGCCATTTTTTATATATATGTATATATATATATGTACACACACTTTTTTTGCAATTTGGATAGTTCCATTTGATATGAAGGCAATTACATTAATGTGAGATGTGCAGTTTTAATTTCCTGTCTCCACAAAAAATTGGCAAAGATCCTTCATTAATTTATTAAAGTGTTCATCATTTTTATTGGAAATTAACATAAATGTGCAAAACCACAGAAGGCATTTGCTCAAAACAACCAATTCCTTTCTTAGTATGAAAGGAGAAAGTGATTTGATATAGCAACTTGCTTTTTCTCCTTTTTTCCCCAAAGACTAGTCTATACTAATCCCTAATTTGCCCCTTAAACTAAAAAATTATTCTCCTGTATGTCTTCCTAAGGGTTCAAAATACAAAATTTGTGAATAGGATGAGAACTTCACCAAGTGTAGATACAGTTGATACAAGGTGAAGATGAGATGTATACTGTCAGGAAACAAAAATCCTTTTTTTTGTGCATATATCAAGTTGCCTCTCTGTTCAAGATAATTTAATCAGTTTTTTAGCAGATATACTGCACCTTGCCTTTCTTTTGGTGAGGAAAAGTAAGGAATACAATTATTTTGTTTGTACTCAAATGAAAATTCACTTCCTAAAAAAAGCAGAATGTGCTGGCAGTTTGAATTGCTAATCTGTTATTAATCCAAGTAATATGAAATTGATCTCCGCAGCGCAAGATGATGAGTTGTATACAGCTGTGCATTAGAGAAATTCAGAAATTATGTAAAAGATGCTACAATTGCTTTAAACAGAGTTTTTGCCCTTTTGACTTGGCCAGTTCCCATATCAGTGATCAAAAAGGTTATTGTGTAGAAGTTTATGTAGCAAGAGGATGTAAGATGTCTGATTCAATGTTCTTATTTTGTTGCTGGTCTTTATTGTCCATTTTACTTCCCACACTCTTTTTATGAAGCTGATGTGTGACTGTATTCATTTGGAATTTGTGTTTCTCTGTTTAAGAAATACAGTCACTCCCCCCCCATGGGACTTCAATTCTGTATTGACATATTGCTCTAGGATAAGATTAAATAACTGTCCTCATTGTGAGAACTTTCATGAGGGAGGATGGACTTGAACTTTACGTGTGAAGAGCACAATGTTATTATATTCTCAATGGAATAGTAGACAAAATTCATAATATATTTTTTAAAAATGGCAGAATTAACTTATCCAAAATAAAAAAATGCACTATAAGTAAGAAGACTTACTTATTTGTAGATTCATGTATTAAAGTAAACTCCTTGTATTTACTAAAGCTTTTACCACATGGAGAATTCTTGTTCCCTAGTACAGATGTTATTGGATTAAAGGATGTTTGAATGCCTGAATTAAAGGGTATGCTTAAATACTTTTGTGAATTATAGTCTTGACTTGGTATAGCTGTAGTCATGCCTGAATAAACTAATAGCATTGAGTATAAGCAGTAAATAATTCAGATTTGTACATAGTTCTTCCCCACAGACACTGAGTGGTTTATGTTCTTTATCCACTTGGTTTCCTGTGTTAAGATGTCAAGCAATTGCTTAACTTCTTGAACTTATCTGGCAAAGCCAATCTTTTTTACCATGCCTATTGAATTATAAATAACGCTCATCTGAATTATAAAAACAAAACTCAGAAAGGAAACCCAAAAGACCCTGAAAAGAGAACCTGTTGCCAGATGTTTTGTTGGTTATAGTTTTAAACAAGGTTTCCTTTCCATTGAATATGGAAGTAGTACAGAACTCCACTTCTGTTGCATGTTCAAATTTATTTACAGCTGATCTATTTTGCCAACAATTTCCCTGCTTTAAAAGTACTTGTCTTCAGTTTCACTGGCAGGGGACAATATGAAGAAACTCTAGTATTATGAAAAATATTATTCCAGCTGAAAAAAATCTGAGCACCTTAAGTTGCATATTCTATGTTTTTATTGTCATTTGCTTTTGCAGTATGAAATAGAGTATTGAGAGAGGCTCGTGAGCTTTAAGGATACCATTAGATGTTTCTCTCAGCTCCCGGTTACTTTCTTCTTGATGCCCTCCTATAGCTGCTCCTGATTAGCTGAGGATCAGGACCCAGCTGGTCACCTATTGAATCCAGCTGGCAAGTTGATTATTTTCTCTATAAGAGCCCAGGTAAAAGGAGGTATTTTCTTGTAAGTGGGCCCAGAGGGAGAAGGACAGAGAGGTTATATATAAACTGATCAATTAGATATAGAGGAAAGCATATCTTCTTGAGAACATGAGTAGGCATGAAGGGCTTTGAAACTCTGAAGGGTACATCCTCTGCAAGAATGAAAGAATAAAAATGGTTGATAAAAAGTGAAGGTTCTTATGTTCTGATTTTCTTTGAAGTATTTTTTTTTGTTCTCTGCTCTCTGACTGGAACAGATAGAGGTATAGTTGCCTGAGGTAGGTACTAAGCAAGTCTAGTGACTGATGATGAGAACTAACTTGGAAATAAAAGCTGGAATAGAAAGTCTGTAGTTTGCCAGGGAACAAGCAGATGATTTCTTCGGGGAAGCACAAAGTGACCAGTTTCTAAAAACAGATCAGCAGTGCTCTGACGTTAGAAGCACTGAACACATCTGGCTTGTCCCTAGGAATGCAAGCATGTTCAAGGAGCCTAGAGCAAAGCATTTAGATTCCTTTCTGTTTCTTCTGGAAAGTTAGACACCCTAAACTTCAATAATAAAGTTGCTTTCTGAAAAGATGAGTGGGTGGTGGGGGTGACTACTAAAATGTAAAGGAACTCCATAACCCAGTTCCTCATATTAATCAAAAGGAGTATTTCTGGAACTGGAATTTGTTCATAATTTTGCTATGAAAACTTGATTCTGATGCAAAAAGGTCTTAGCTTAATCTACAATTCAATTTTTTTCTGTGTAAGATGGCTTTAAACTGATTGTGTATCTGGAAAGAGAAAACTGGATGAATTGGGTGAATTCAGAAGGACTTCTTAGTCTCATTATTTGTCCCTAATTTGTGTTTTTGTGTTGGAAGTGACAGGAGCGTTGCTAAAGATACTGGAAGATGTTTCTTTGAGATGTTCCAGCCGCAGCATTTTAGTTGAAGTTCAGCGTAACTTGTTTTTCTTTTTGTAGTCCATTTTGTGCTGTAAATTTGAGGCAAATAATTGTTTTGTTTTGTTATAGGGAAAGGTGAACATGGAAAGCCATACCCTCTTACAGAGGAAGACCACGATGATTCTGCTTATAGGGAAAATGGCTTCAACATATTTGTTAGCAACAATATAGCACTGGAACGATCACTGCCAGACATCCGACATCCTAAGTATGTAAATTGTCTCCTGGACTATTTAGTTTTTAAGTTTTTAATCTTTGTATGTCTCTAAATAACCTGTTTTCCTGGAAGGTCAAACATGAACCCCCAGTCAACAAAAAATGATAATTTCATTAAATAGGAAATGGAAACTTTATCACCATTGCTATATCATTTGCTCTGTATTTTAAACTGACTTCTTATCTTATTAGTAACATATTAAGACTATAGAAGGCCTCTTTTCATTACAGAATGATTTTCATTAAATTCCTGGGTAGTGATTTCTGCAAAAAAAAAAAGAAAATCATATAGTTTTTCATGTTCTTAGTTGGTTAATACCTGTAGATTTTTGGTCTGGGGTATGGAGTAACAAGTTGCATACAGTTTTTGGCTAAAGGTTTTGACACTACAGCTTGCCAGATGCTGATGCTGCAGTTGATTTATGCAGTATAAAATTATGTAAGAACAGAACATGCATGATGCACATGCAGAACTTGGGGATGCTGGATGATGGTATTGTTCCCTAACAGCACTAATATAACACAGAGAAATAAGATAAAGATTATCCTGGAAAATAATCACTGAGCTAAAAATGGTCATACAGTTCTTAGCAAACATAACTTCCTTTTATATTCTTTAATTTTAGCCACCTTTATATCTGAAGAGTAAAGCTTCCTATCTGTAGCAGGGAAAAGGGCACTTTTACCTTTCTAGGCTCCAAGTTCCAGTCCTCTAGAGTCATTCTGAGCTCTGAAGAGAGAACTGATTTGAGTTGTCTTTTACCTGGCATTTTTCCCCTCTTTTGATTAGATGTTATGCAGCTATCATGTGGGGGAAAGATACAGGAGCGAGACAAAACAAATTGTCTCCATGACTATATTTGTATTTTCTTTCAGATATAATTCTCTTCTTTACGAAACATTTCATGTTAAGGTACCTACTCCTTAATTTATAAAATTTTGGTGTGTGATTAGTTTAAAAATTTTCAAGGACCAAGGCAGAACTGTTTGCATAGTAAGAGTTTAAAAAAAGTAGTTCGCATGAAGGAACTAACCTTTTGTTAGAGCTGTTTCTAATTTAATGTTAAACATTAATTGTCTAGTTGTATTGTTTTGAGAAAAAATGTTGCTCATAATTTGTATATATTAGTATTGTTTGCATAGAATTAAGTCAAAAGAAATGTTTTTATAACAAGTTGTATGTTTTATATACTTTTTTTGCTTTCTGCTTTGCCAAGTTACTTGAAATTACTTATAGAAAAAGTGCTTCCAAGAAGTTTGAGTTCTAACATACAGCTTTACAGCATCAAATCTGTGGTAAATTACATGGCTGGCATAATGAATATGTTCATTAAGCATCCTCCTCTGTTAGCAAAACTGCAGAGGACAATTACTAAATATAAAAGGAAGCTGTCAGGTTTATCATCCCTTTGTGTTTTTGTAAATTGATCTTTTGGCAACTTGTTCCTCACCCGCTGCTTTTGCACAGTCAATGACATTTCCACACGTGTCCCCAGAAGCAACGTGAGTGGTGTGTTGTCAGAAGTGACATATTAGGAATGAGTCAGTGCTAAACCAGCCTTTGTCTGCCCTCCTTCTCCCAGCACAAATCCTTTTGTGACTTTCACCTAAGTGTCTCACTTGGGAAGCTTGTATCCTTAGGTATTGGCATTGTTTCCATGTTTCAGTTCAGCTAGATTCCTATGGTCTTCAGTGAAATATTGTATGGTGGCTGTTTTAGTAGTGCTCTGCGTAAACTGACTTCTGCCATGTGCTTCTAACCTTCCTTATGTTAGACACTCATAACACAAGAAGTCCATTGGTTAATTGACTGTATTGCATACCATTTAAATGCAGAGAAAAAAATGTTCTTGTCTTGTGCTAAAATTGCTTACTAATTAGTATGCTGATTAAGGAGACAAAGCTGGGCTCTATACTTCTGATGGTTACGCCTTGAAGAAAGTGTATTTCTTCAACTTCCAAGAGACACAGAAGTCTGACAATGCTTTCTGACCTACTGTCAGAAACAAACCCCTCTCTTGGCTGCTGTGTGTTAAATATGGCCAGTCTCAAATTGCACTTCACTTTTGGAAATGTGTCCTCTCTTCAGAAGTGCATGAAATGTGAAATAGGTCATACCTCGTTGTGCTGGTTTTGGCTGGGGTAAGGTTAATTTGCTTCATAAATTTGCATGTCACCCTTGTGAAGGGACCATGTTAGAGGCTGGAGTTAAAACACGAGACTCATAAAGTTGCTTTCAGAGAAACTAATCGGAAAATTATGTAATTTCTGTGCCAGAAAAGGATGCTCTTATTTCAGTAGCATTAGAGTAGATAAATCAGGTGAGGTATAGCAGGCAAGATCTAGTTTGTTCAGCTTCTGAACATTATAAAGGGCTTTGGCTTGGTGGAACTTCAAACTACTTTGAGGCTTTTAACTGTTTTCTGCACATTTGTGGGAGATGGTATTACTCTAGACTTTGAGTCTTTGATCCTCTGTCTCTGTGTATACCATTTGCACAGGGGCTCATCTGCTAAAGACTAACTTCCTGAAAGTACTGTCTATGACACATTTTATAGAACCAAATAGAATGGTTTTATTGCCATCAGCAGAGAAAATTCACAAAATGGATTTTCAAATACAACAAAAAACTGGTGAATCCTGTAATTTGAATCAAAACTTATTAAATCAAAAGAGCAGCTACAGTTGTTTCAACACTTATCTGAAATAACTTCAAAAATATCTTGGTCTGAAGTCAGACCAAGGAAATTTCAAGTACCCCTTCCAAGTGTTTGGTTTTATGGGAAGTATGAAAAGATAGCAGATAACCCAAACTTACTCTTTTTAATCCAAATAAATTTTCTCCTTCTGAGTCTCTTAGCAAACTGAACTCAGAATTTGCAAATAACACCTTCTAGCAGGGGGACAGGTAGAACTAAACAAATGCTTAGCTGATTGACCTCTGAGAAATTCAAGTTTTCAATTTTTTTATAATATTCTTTGTTTTTCCTGTGATTTTTTTAAAAAACACTTCAGCAAGATGTGTTATGATTGATTTTTTTTTCTTTCCTTTTTAAGACATCAAAATATGTGTACTATAAAAATCCCTAGAGAAATTCTATTTTAAGGCTGACTTAACAGCTTTCCTGTGTCCTTAATATGTTTCTATTGCGTCCCTTTAATATCTCCCATGGCTTTTTTCTCTCTCTCAAATGCTCAAATATTTTTGCCATTTCTGAGTGGTCTTTATCCTGCTTCTGTCCCACTCGTGTGAAAGTCTTCACACAGTGGGTGCTCTTGCCAAGCTATATTAGCTAATTCTCTGTTCTTTGCCCACAATCACCCCCTGGTTTTAAGTTTAAACAAACAAACAAAACTTTTTTTCCCCCTTAATTGTGGATTAAAGTCTGAAACAAGATTATCATCTCAGTTCACTGTGCTTCAGGACCAATTCAGTGAAAACAAGAGGTTGGTCACCTAAAGTAGAAGGCAGCATTATAACCTTTAGGTTGTATTGAGCAAAAGTAATGGAGTTAATGTTTAGGAGGTAGAAATTCTGTACCAGTATAAAAAAAAATATTTCAAAACATGCAAGAAGAGTGTTTTCCTTTTCACCTGCCTTGTGCCACTTTCTGTAGTCTGGAATACAACAAACATGCTAATGCTAGGGAAAGTGTTGGCAGTATTATTTTCTATTGTTGAAAGAGAAATGCTACTTATTCAAACTATTGAATGTACCAGTTATAATTAATTCTTATCTTCTCCACATTATTAAATATTCTGCCATTCATACCAGGTTTGTTCAAGCAAACAAAACTGAATCTGATTCACATTTTGAATAGCATTCTAAATGTGATTTTAATGAGGCTTTGGGGAGTGATTACAATCATCTAGTCTGAACAGTGAATATAAATTTTGTGATCTATCGTGTTTCAAACTCTTAAGTCCTTGTAAACTACAGAATCCATTTTTTAGCCTTTTGTTCTTGAATCAAGGAATTCGAGTTTGTTCCTGATACCAGTAGAGTTGAGACCTTTAAAATCTTTGGGTTTGGTATATTTGTATAGCTTCATTTTAGGACCAGGTCTCCTTTTATCTAAAATTTGTGGATTAATTGCTGATAACCGTATCCTGGGGTGCATCGAGCACAGCATTGTGAGCCAGTTGAGGGAGGTGATTGCACAGCTCTACTCTGTGCTCGTGCGGCCTCACCTTAAGCCCCGTGTGTAGTTTTGAATGCCACAGCACCAACCCTGACAGAGTTGAGAAAGTGTTTGGACAATACTCTCATGCTAACACTGCGATTCTGAAGATCCTGATGGGTCCTTTCCAACTCAGGATATTCCGTGATTCTATGTGACTTGTGTAATCACAGAGCCGGTGCACAAATCCTTCTTAGCTTGCCTGAGTAATCTATCACGAGAAATCCCGTCCTTTTAAGGTTTTCCTGGGCATAGATAGATTAATTTTGTACTGAAAGTCTTAATGTTCTTATTGTACATTAAGGATGCCAAAGCTGATTCTTGTGATGCTTGTTTTTTAGGGCTGCAGTCAGTGTTTACAAGCAATGTCTGCTGGTCTTGCTGTTGCTGAGTGAAGTGCTGGCCCTTCACTGTCACTCTCACCAGTATTCCTTTTTAGAAGTCTCAACTATACTCATTTTTCTTACACATTAAATATTTCATAACCCTCAGAAGAAATGCATTTTCATATTCAAAGAAATACAAGTGCTTAGCCAAGAGCTGTGAGATCTTCTGTGTCCTGAACACTAATGAGATTTTATTTAATAATAAAACCAAATTTCACTTTATGGGTTCTGCATAACTGAAACTCTTCTTTTTAGTAGCAGAAGCTGAGAGAATGCCTGAATGGTTCTCTCTCAAAATATTTGAATGCAGTGTGGTTGCTCTCCACTGTATTTTTAAAAGACACTAAAATGAATATGCAATGGGATTTCTCAGGGGAGCACTTTTTTGATTGATTGTATTTTTATGTGTCTTTAGAGTAGTTGCA